AAGACATCTATAGTCAACAGATAACTGACGTATCGCTACCTCAGAATTACACAGTTCAAGCTGACATTCTTTTTTTCCGTTTTGAGTTACTATAAGATCATGGAATCAGAAAACAAATGCTCTATCTTCTCTATCAAAACCGTAAGATTTTTCTGAGTCGTTATCAAAACATTCAAAGAACTGATTTTGAAAAAGCTTGACATTTTGTGAAACTCAAAATTTTTTACGGCAAATTTCTCAAAACCAGGTACTGAGCAGGTACAACTTTGTAATTCTGGGGTAGCGGTCTAAATGTAGGTATGAAATGCATTAACCTCATTAACCATTCAAACCAATATCATCAAAGGAAATTAACTGTGGACCAACACAACACAGACATTTATCTTTACTATGAAAGAACAAAGTATTTTTAATGTAAATTTAGAACTATGGGCCACCTGGTCTTCCATAAACAGGTTATTGGAAAGTTTTTGTGTCGTGGCATGGTGGAATCATGCGCTCGTCGATTTTTGGGGCTTATGCAGTTATTTGTATCATCTTAAAGCTTTGCTTTTATTTGTCTTGATTTCCTTGAACAAAAATTATCCATCTATGTTAAATAGTAGTCAAGATATTTGCGATTGAAGGAGATGGGGTTGCCTTGTTTCTGATGAATGATTAGCGAGAAAATGGCCGTCAAAGTTTGGAGACTTTCAATGCGTTCGAGTCCTTCTCCTTGGAAACAGAAAATGTACAATTTGTGTGCTTTTAATCAACATTTTGCAGTAAAATCTACACTTCAATGTATTTTCTAATGCTCACAAAAGATCTTCAGTAAAAAAAAAAAAAAAAAGGTCGATGAAAATTGCCGAACCTGCGGGAAAATGCCATTTTCCTCACTTTTATTGATTATCTATCTTTACGTGCGCTTGTTTTCACCACGATGCCTCGCAAAATGACATGCTGTTGCAGCATGAAGGCCAACGTGCAAGGTGAACATGTTTCTATAAAATGGCATTGAATGGGAAGTGAAATAATGGCTCTTTATACCACGTGTAACAGACGGTCATGAACAGCTACAATGGTTTTTTGTTGAGTTTTTCGCTGGGCTTTTAGCCACAGTTCTCTTGTAAATTAATGGCGTCATGCATGGATGTTTCGACCTAATTCTGAAATAGAAACTCCGCTGCATTTTGAACTCAAGAGACTTGGATTTGGAAGATAATAATAATAA